TATTGGATGGTGGGCTCGCTCCGGAAACTCTTCGGATGGTTTTTCCTTCATGATCAAGGGTTGGTGATGAGTAGGGCTCCGACCCTAGCAGCTGATCTGATGGTGGTTAGCTTCATGATAATAGAGATAGGGGAATGTGTTGAGAAATGAAGACGATACAGACGACGAAAGCGATTGGAAATCCTCGTTGAAGTGAGAACTTTGTTACTCAATCTCGGCTCTGCAGACTCTACAGTGAGAGCTGGAGGTTCGCAGGGGACACCACTGACGGGTGATGAAAATGATCCCCCAAGCCTCCTTGGTGTAGGGCTTTAACATGATACATTGAATTACACAATTCAATTCAATTGAACTGTACGAGGTTTGGTCTGGGTTAGAGGGGGCCAATGAATTAGATAGTCTATAAGTCAAGCATCACAATAAAACCAAGTTAATACCGAAGCTAAATGTGACATGATCTAGCCCAGACTCGTAATAACTCGGTGCTAATTGGTAACTTCATTGACTTCAAGTTTCGAAGCTACCAGGCATGTGAAACCGTGACAGCTTCCGACAGGTTGGTGGTGGACAGGGTCAAGCGGGCCTCTTTTGGAGTACGAGGAACATGTGAATGGATATACTCATCTAGTGCGGCTCTGGTGTCTGGATTACATGTTTTTTAATCAAGATTTTATTGTGTATGTAGATATCTAGATATGAAACAAAATCAGAAGCAAATAATAGAACGAACGGCTAATCTTAAAAATTGAGCACTCAGAGCCGGAATTTCATTCACAGATATCACTGCGAAGTTACGGCGGCTTGTTCTTCACCCCAAGTCAGCCCTCATCCATGAATACCCATTCAGGGAAACGTCTCTAAAACCCTGAGTTATCCAAATATGCCCCTATCGTCCATTGACTTCTCTGCATACGAAATGTGTACTGAGGAGTTTTCTTTACAAGTGAAATAGATGCCCGTGCTGCTCAAACTATACCAGAGATCACGACCAGGAAGTGGACCAGGGCGTCTTCCACTGTCGGCTTGTTTTTATAATTTGAGCTGCACTCTCTTAATCGAAATATCGATGCGCACAATTCTCTTCGTTTTGTATGACTCTTGGGCAAATTTCCAGGTCTCAGCCCCGTCAAGATTGTATCTATCTTCTGCATCATCTTGTGAACTTGTCTTGATTTCTCTCAAGCCCATTCCAAAGAAGTATATCCCAGATTTATGCACCACGCCTTGTTTCCTCCGTCGAGTATATATATTGGCGTGGGCGTGTTATTGGTGGCCAGCTAAGGCTAGAGAAAAGTCGATGAGACGGGCTGTCATTGAAATGAGAATGTACTAGGTCGTATTCACAGAACAGAGATTTAGGTAGAAATTGATTTCATTAGTAGTGAGGTATTGACATGGTGGAGTATTTTGAATCATTGCCTTCCGGGCCATATTTAGTATTGCGAAATTTGACTTAACTTGGCTCTGGGATTGTATTTCACTCCCAGGTTCGTAGAGGACACCGCGGAAAGGTGTTCAGTCTTCGTCCTCGTTTCCAAGACTCGCCTGCCTAGAGCTGCATGTTTTTTGAGATTCTTTCCCGCGCATGCGATTTCCATTGCCCTTTTTAATTTCTGTTGGGTAGAAGTTTTCATTGAAAAAATGATGAACTCTACATGTAGATACTGAGCTGAATGGTTATCCATCATCGGCATGATATCAAAAACATTATCTCTGGACAAAGGCAGATCGTAAGACTCCACGTCGTGAGGCTTGGGTGAGGGGGGGGCTATGGTGCTAGACAGTTTGCGTAATGAAATTCAAACATGATTGTTCCTGTGATTAGGCTAGGACAAAATCACCACAAATCTTATCCACCCCACTACGTGTATCAAAAAATGAATCAGAAGACGTGGATACTTCCCAACAATGTATTCTTTAGACTAGACGATAATTAAATCTTTCAGAACAAAACAACTGTCGAACATCACTACACGAAAAGAATTCGCCAACGAATCAATTATTCAAGCCCTTAAACGTGCATCGTCTGCTCCTAGAATGGCTTTAATCCAAAAAAAGCATTATAAATTATGCAAGGACGACGAAGCGTAACATCTTTTCAACGGCCTTACTCCTCATCGATTCTGTGGTAGGCGATTATAACTCTTTGATAAGAGTCCTGCGACACAAATGATACCTACTGGGGGATTCAAATTGCAATATAAAATCTGATCAAGTAAACTATAAAGTAGAAAAATAAACAATCATAGTTAATCAAGATTAAGTAGAGGAAGTCGGAGGTTTCGAAAGGCTGGAGACTATATTTTGGGATAAAGATTTTAACAATTATGCATATTTTGAGTATCAGATTTTTATATTCCAGACACGAAGCGACACAAAACGGCAGTCTAAGTCTGCATCTTGGTCTGAAGACTAGATTTTGATTTCCCATCAAAAGTTAGATATCTGGATACTTATAAACCACTTTTAATAAGAGGCCTGCGAGGCTTCAATACTTGAAATGGAAACAGGTAGGCAGGCAACGGTATACTGAAAATACTAAGGGTAATTTAGATCTTCTAAGTTGACATTCATGTTTGAATGAATTATCAAAGTTGTAGGCTCAACTTCGAATCGTATCAACAACTACGCCGACATCAAGTTTGCTATATGCTAGAATCCCATCATCTTTCCATATCCAAAAAATCAGCGAAAATAATCTTCTACAATTTGCCATTCAAGGGACTTCATCGAAACACAAACAAGATCGTCGGTAATCAGTTATACCGGATTCTCAACTATTGTCCATGGTATTCTCTGCTACTTTCCAACTTTCAAAATGGAATCTACATAGCCAAACTTAGGTTGCACAGTATGCGAAAGAGCGTTCTATGTCTATAAGTTTATTGCATCTCTCACCATCTTAGACTGGGCGAAATAGATGAAAAAAGCAACCTTTCAGCAATGATCTTTATCAAAATTCTCCAAAGATTTTTAATGGTATTCTGTATGCCCTGAGACATGAATCGTTAAAGGAGACATGAAGGAAGAAAGATAGAAAGTGCCTCTCTTCGCGAAAAAAGACTGCAGCACCCGCCTAGCTGACTTCTCTAAAAACTACATATTAGTAACTATTTCTTCGAACATAGTTCTGATCTTGGTAGTAATGGAGTGAAAGACTTACTAGATTTTGAGTTTTTACTGCAGCTATGCACTCGCAAATTATCATCGATTATATATATGGAAAGGGGGGATAAAGAGAGAATTAAATCTCTCTTAAGCTTATAATGCATTGAGGACCTATTAGAATTTAATGATAGCACAGGAGAATGAAGGAAGTACAGTAGCGAATAATCTACTTATAGCACAGATACTTCCGGCCTGCGTTTATAAAAAGTCTGCACGTGCTAATATATTCTTAGACTTAATACGATAACATAATATCTAAATATAATGATCTTTAAACTCTTTGGCACTCAAGTGACCATCGGTAGAATCTACCTCAGTTCGAGGCTAGTCAAGCACGTGATAGAGTTTTTGATAAATTCTCACCACCTTGCTACTAACCGTGGGCGGTTTATCAGCGATAGGTCTACTTGAGACTGCTCTTTTCATCGATTCAGAATCTCCGATAAGGGGTTACAACCTTATAAGGTCAGAGGACATCGGGAATCACCAGATAGGTCATTTTTGCGTCCCACAATTTTTCTCTCTATGATAGTTCGTCATCATTTCTAAGGGCTCGAAATCAAATGAAAATTTTTATTTTCAAAGCTTAATCATTTTAAACGATATGAAAAATTTACTTTGATCTCTTTAATTAATGAACAGTCACCTATCAATTACATAGACCTAGTGGATCTACAAAATATCAAGTATCATCATTTGCCTGGTTTGTTTCAAGATGTCAAAAATAATGGGTAACAATTTGTTGTAGTACTAAGTCCCCCCTTTATTTTAATTCTGTTGTAAGTGGCGTCTCAGGTTCACACAAAACGATAATAAAGCTTGATTTGCCCCAATCTAAACGCTCTACCACTCATGCAAGGCCAAAAATGATTGAATCTTAACTCTGTATATTATCTGACATCCTGCTATTTTATAGGTTGGACCAATATATCTGGGGATTTTTAGACATGTGCGGGAAAGAGCTAATGATATACAGCTATAAGAATAGCTTTAATGCACACAAGCATGTTTCTTCGCGCCTGTGATATTTTTAGCCTTGAGCTTTTTCATCAACCCAATCCGGGTAGAGTGACTAGTAGTTGCCAACAAGCTACTAAAAAATAATTATTGTTTGCTTGATGTTTGTAGAGTTGCACTTTCCTCACATTTATTTACCCACCAATAGTTCTGCCTTGAAATAAATCACGCGTTGCAATTCATACTTCATAGGGTAAACTATCTTGGTTCCTTCCTAAAATCAAAGAGTATGAGGGGCCTCCATAAAAGAAGTCTTTCCACTTCTTCCAAGCTTATCATTAACAACAATTTATCAGAGAACCATCCAACATTCTACGATAACGCACACACGCATCTGGCTTGGTAGCTTCCTATCCTCTAGAAACTCCATTCGCTATTTGTTTCTATACGCCCTTTGTCCTATTCCCATAAGTAGAACCAGCCAGCATTAACTTACGAGGAACTTTAGATTCCAGCTTTTACAGTACTCCAGTAACGGTAACTGGCCTAATTTAACTCGGCTTGTGGACTAATATTTGCTACCATAGGTTTATTCTAATTCGAACCAAGACTTCACTTGTCTAGGCTACAAGTCTTGAGCATCGGTAAGACTAGACTTCAATAAAATATAGTGCATGAAGAAGTAAATCTGGTATTACATTGTTAATTTAATGAGAGTTAAATCTCTACATATTCATTTGGATCGTTCAAGTCAATCTTACACACTTAAGCCTTTTACCGACTGTGACGGTATCTTGATTCAGTTAATCAAGCAATTAATTCTATTGACTGCAATTTAGTTGACTGTAGCTAATATATAAAGCCACTAGATCACTATGTCTTACCAAAATACGGCAAATCACATCGAGAATACCCCCTATAATAATTCTACATCCGGCATATACAATCAGTCGCAATCTCGTACTCAACGCGTAACAAATGTTCAAGAGGGAGCATCATTTCCCCAGCCTAAGTCAGCTTCTCAAAGTGATGTTTCCCTAAACGCCTTGATGGGTCAATTTGCAAGCATGTCCCTTCCTACATCTAATTTGACACCTGCTTCCTCTCTTAATGCAGTTCAACCGCTTGTTGGTAGCAACCAGTATTTTTACAATCCAGCAGACAATACATATTTGGTTGCACCTGCTGTGTATCCCACACAGCCTCTAGGTGCAGCCCAAGCTAATGAAAATAATTATAGCTCATATGCTGCCACACTACCATATTTTGCTCAGTCTGCATATTCTGGATACGTACCTGGTCTCCATCTAATGCCATATACTCCAAACAGAGTCAATTCTGGCTATTACCCTGATCGAGCTGATCTTTTGCATAAGGAAGTTCCAGGGCTAGAAAATCGGCGCGGGTCATATTCTACGAACGAGTCTGTGCCAGGAACGCCTCACTATTGCTCGTTTACACAGCGCGAACAAGCCAAGATTGCTACAGTTGATCGCTCTCCGTTTGGATCTACCCCGTCACCTCAAGCGACTCAGCCTACAATAAAACCCTTACCTTACAAAACAATTCCTGTAAATGTTGATATTGATGGCTTATTACTACAAAATCCACCTATACCTCGCGCTGTTCCAGCAGTATTTACTCCCCGTGAAAATATGCGTACTCTGGATCAAAGTTTATCAAATCCCATTGCAGGCAATCGAAATGTTTATATTCGTGGCCTTCATCCGAATACAGATGATGCCACTCTTATGGCGTATGCTGCAAGATTTGGCAGGGTCGAAACCTCAAAAGCTATAATTGACACTACAACAGGGGCTTGTAAAGGGTAAAGATCATCTACAAAACCTCAATTACTTAAAATGCTGATTATTTGCCTTTAGATTTGGCTTTGCGAAATACGCTAATGTGCGAGATTCAGAGCTCTGTATCCGTGGCCTGTACAAACTTGGATACGAAGTTGGCTTTGCTCGAGTGAGTTTCATTATTTCTTTCATTCACAAGATACTAAATGACTACAGGAGTCTTTCAATTCTCGCCTTAAAGCTGAGGGTGATGATGGCTCTACTAATCTCTATGTATCTAATCTTCCAAAGAATATGACAGAAGCTGTATGTTAGAATCTTCGCCTCCTTAACAAAAAGCTAAACTAAAATTTAGGAACTCGGCGCTATTTTTATGGATTATACTGTTCAGTCAAGTAGAATTCTACGTGACAGTCAAAATAATAGCCGTGGAGTTGGATTTGCGCGGTATAAACTACTTATCCCGTTTTACATTGAATATTCTGATGAAAATAGATTTGAAAGTCGTGAGATATGCGAAGAAATTATCAAGAAATTTCATGGCCAACCCATTGGAGAGGAAGGCCTTCTCTTACAAGTTCGATATGCTGATACTCCCTCTCAGAAAGATCTCAAAAGGGTCACTACTGAGCGCCGTCAATTTCGTACCCAGGAGTATAATGTTGGTGCATATGGCGCCACTGCGGACATCTTAGGCTTATCTTCACCAATTTCATCACCTGTTGTCCCTCGTGCAGCTCAAATTGCGCGTCATTTTCCCAACTCCAGATCTAGTGGCTCATGGAAACGTGAAAGTGAAGAAACGTATGATTACTTGGATATCAAGAAAATATTACTGATTTTTTTTGTAGTAATAAGTCACCGGAAATATTCAAGGATCTTAATTGTCAGGCAAAAGTAGGATCTAGCTGCGATAACGCAGAGTGGTAAGTAAATGGGGTTTCTAAAACCTATGTCTACTAATAAGGTTGCAGTAATGCCTTGAAGGTTATTACAACGATATCTGAAGATGGTTCTATTGATGATAGCGCCACTATTAATAACGACTCCCCAAGCGTTGCCTTCGCGAATTCTAAATTCTCACCAATAAAGCGCAAGTCTTGATCTCATATCTAAGAATAGTTTTGATAAGTCTTTTATGTTACATTTTCTAGCAAAAATTATGAAGAGAGTTCTGAATGAATCTCACGATGAATCCACACAGGTTACTTATCTCTTTGATATAAGTTTAGTTTATCTTTGGAAGATTCATCAAAAGGTATAATTAATCTGTCAGTATAATCTATGATTTGTTTTGTTTCAATTAGTATCCCGATACTTATGCGGCATATTTAAGTTAATGCTTTGAAACATGGACTTGATGTTAGTATTATTCTTGTTAAATATTCAATGCGGCATTGAACACTTTGTATCATAGTTCATCTAGCTTAATTATTTGGTTTTCTTCATGAAAGTGAACTGAAGCTAATTAAAATTATTTGAAACTATAAAGAAAATAATGACCCCTCAGTCATTGAGGTTGTAGAGCGCATTGACTCAATTGACTACCGAAGTAAAACTAAGTACAGGTTTTGTAGTCACGTGTGTGCTAACAACGTGGTCTACTTGATAGCCCCAAATATTCCAACTCATGGCAGATACCACTTCAACATTGCTGCTACGGAGGAGGAAGGCTGAACACCTGTCAGTGGTGTCTTCTACGAACCTGGGAGTGAAATATTCTCTCAGAGCCGAGATTCAGTCTCGAAAAAGGGTGGGATGAATTTTATTTTATGGATTTTCGACATGAAGGAGTTGCACTCGATATTTTGGTCGAAAAATCAGCCGGCAGAGATTTCACAGCCGCAACAAAATTGAACAGAAACTCATCAGCACCAACATACGATTGACGAGTGGATTCAGGTCTGTCTGGGGGTCGTATTCAAACATCCGACATCTCTCAAACTCCTCATGTATTTACGACGAAGCATTTCTCAGTCGATTCTACACCTGAGATCCACCTCCACACTCTTCACATCACCTATCTACACACGCCCTAATGAGGAAAGTTATGATGGAAACGGGACGTGTACAGAGGAGGAAAAAAAGGGAAGATACACTGAGGGATCGTACAAATCCCCGATGACGATAACAACCCAATGTTATGATATGAAGTTGCAAGTCTAGAGCAACAATGAAATATGTGACTACATTCATATTTCGGATTCAATTAGGATGTCAAGGGTTCGGGCGCGTGGTGACCGAGGCCGAGGAGGAATTTGCGCTTCGGCGCGTCAAAAGGGTGTTCTCTGGACGGTTGGGCTTGACATGATTTAACACATGGGTGAAGTCTGAGATGGTCCGGTCATTTAAGTGGGACGAGGTATATCTGTACTTCACGTTAGTTAACCTGATTCTGCCCGGCCCCACCCGTGCTCAAGCTCCAGTAGGAGTGCAACTGGAATCACTACATCTAGCACTTTAATGAAAAACAAAAAAAGACATTGCTTCTCCTGTTAGTTACACGTCACATCACGATTTGGCAATTTGCGCTCTACATTGATACCATCAACTCCTTTCAAATCGCCCTTTAGCTTCAATTTCATACTTGTATCTACGACCGCGAACAATGTCTGACCCCCTCCTCCCCCTATTCCCCCGTCAGTAGTAGGGGCACCAATGACACTGATAGAAACGCTGAACCAAGCGACTTCCGCTGCTAACATAAGAACGCAGGAAGAAACTCTTTTGTTTGGCAGCGTCGCCGCAGCATTGGGTAACGTCACTTGTGGTACGGCTGCCTCTACAATCACCCTCCATTTACAGAAAATATATACGAGTTCTTGACCCGTATGCAAGCTGTTGCACAAGAATTTTTCGAAAACCATGTGCGAGGCGTACCGATTTCCGCAACAACTACTCACCTTCTGACAGCCTAGTGAAAGCCAGCTGCCCATGCGAAGCTCTCATACGCGAACGTTGCAAGAAAACTGAAGGGCAATGCTGGAGTTAGCACCCCTCATAAACCGAGACCTGCCAATCTCCAAAAACAGGCCAAACCTCTGCCTTTGAACGATCGATTATTTCTACGCCTTGATGAAAACGCGACAGAACGCCTGATATCAGCGTACTTACTCCCCCTTCAACTCCGAAATTTCCTTAGAGAGAATTCTGCCATGCTGGAGGAAGTGCAACATGTGCCATCTGGCCTGGCCCTCCGTTCATCTTTAGAAGCGGCCTTAATAAAGTTAGAAGACCTTTTTGTTGATAAAAACAGGAGTGATCACTTCTCTACTGTAGTAGTGGACTTGATCGTTGGTGTAAATTTTATATGTGTATATCTGTCTCCTCTCTATCTGGTTTTACAAACTACTTGTCTAGGGACATGCTGACTAATCATTCAACTAAAACCAAGCGGTAATCATCCCAGTTGCAAAAGCCAGTAACCTATCCCAATAAATATAACTACAAAGCTAACATTCCGACACTTTTCGTCCACGGAATTGGGGAAGGGAGGTCACCAGGTGTACAGGGCATTGAAAAATCCCAAAATCTGAACAGTTACATAAACACATCTGTACTTCGTACATTAACAACTTTAGACAATAATAACCGTCTCGTCAAAGAGTCAACCACCCCAGAACTCGTTCTAAAGGAACTTAAGGAAGAAAATGGATTTAATCCTACTGTTGTAGTCGAGACTAAGGGAAGTATTGCATCTCCCTACGATCCATCCACCAGATTTATCTCTCGCTTCCTCACGGGCTCTCGTCTCCCAAGAAGGTTCCGTCTTTTCGGGATGGGCATCAATTGCAGTAAACTATCCAAGAAAGTTTATATCGCTCAATGCGGTAGATGTTTTCAATGGCATAATCAGCGTATCTGCGCCCGTGCTCCACGCTGCCGTTTATGCAGCTCATTTGAGCATACAGAGGAAACCCACAAGCCATGTGGGCCACACCAACATCTCTGCCCATCTAAATGTATCCACTGTGATGGTCCACATCCAGCTGATACCTCAGAGTGCCCACTCAGACCCTGACTAAATGGTATAAAGCTGACAAAGGGGCAAGTAACTCAAGTCCGCAGCACATCTGCCGCAGCAAGAATAGGCCTATGCATCACTGCAGGCTGCATCCGTGGAAATACCACGAACACTTCAGTAGATGAAGAAATGACTGACACCCCTTAGGGCCAAGCCCCCATCTACACGCAAGCCACTAATCATTCTGACACTAACCCCGTTCCATTAATGCTGGAAGGTCCCCCAAGCTCGACCCAGCTTGTTCGGACCACCTCACCTTCACCCCCGCGTCCCACAGTTTTCCTTGGGAATCGCTCCGCTATTCTAGACGTTGAAGATGAAGTCTAGACGGCACAGGTCTATAGGGCTACTGCGTCTCCTGCAGATCAATGTCTGTAGGGGAGCCTCTTCACACGAGCTTGCACTTACCTTTGCAAATGAAGAAAGATTTGACGTCGTTCTCATTCAAAACCCCTACACCTACAATGATCGACAACGCCAGATCACTAAATTCAATCCTAAATATGAGTGCTTGTAACGGCTAGTGAACCGGTAATTATTCAGTGTCACATGATGATAATCACGTGCTGTACAAATCTTCGAAACCCAATATTCTTTCATGGATCAATCGGGACCTCACTAGAAATTTCTAGTAACTAGTAGTAGGACTGCGAACCAGCCTCAGGGGAACATACTAGAAACTGGTTACAGACGAGAAGAATATTCCAGATAGTACAGTAAATGTATAAATAGTTGAAGTAGGACTTGTTGTTCAAGTTATTAGCTCGAGCAAAGATAGAAGTTACAGCGGAATCAATGTCGGCGGTTAGACCGATGCAGTAAGTCTTGTATGAGGTTGTGAGAGGAAGACCCGAGTGGAAACAATTGTATTTAGATGTATGGTTCTTAGTTAAACCGAGATGATAAGAGTGAGATTGCGTGTTTGCATATCTTATCAACTGTGGTTTTTGACCAGTAATTATCAATCTCCATGGATCGTAAGTTTTGATCCCTGTAGATTTAGATCTATGTACATACACATATATAGGCCAGGAATATAAAGCTAAATACATGTGTGTCAATAGAGGGAGTGAGTGAGTGAGTGTTTATTGTCCTAAAAAATCTATAACTATGTAAGGACATGTAGGTCCTTTCTGCCTACAGGTCGGGAGTATCTATGCCTCGGGTAGTGTACTCTCTCCTATGCCTTCTTCACGACTTCTTTCTAGCAGTAATACCCCCACAGGTCCTCATTCGAGTAAACACTAAAAGGAGCCGTTATCCCGTCATTATCTCCCCTCTCCAGCCAACGAAACGATGGCCATTTGCGGCTGTGTAGCTGCAGGGAAAAGTCTCGAAAACCACTGGGTGCGGGGCTCTCCTATGTCGAAGAGGCCGGCCAGCCTGGCGCAGCAGACCTGTGTATACCTAAGAGCGTCTCTCAACCTTCCTAGCCTCCTCCTTACTCCTCCCTGATTCATGCCGCAGGACAAGTCGTAGGTCGTGAAAGGATGTCAGAAAAGTCTTGGTCGAGAGTGACAATCGCGAAGGAGCCTAGCCTAGCATCCAAAAGTCGTTACGGACGTGGGTTTGTCGATTAACTCATGTATTTCAGATGCCCTCCTGGCTAGTAGATTCGGAATTTATGATTAGTAGGGACGATACTGTAGACGAGTCGAAACCTGCTTTTCTTGAGGGCGGAAGGGTCTTTTACTTTGCTTTCGTGGGCTTTTTGTTCGCCCGCCGGTGGGTAGCACATGTTGTGATATAACGAGGGCTTCTCTGACTACCGTTGTAGCGTTTGATACCGCATTATCTTTCCTCTTTCCCAGCATCATTATAGTCGTCTTTGTCGTCTTAGGTGTTATCGGAAGCGTATCTTTGACGGAGGGGGAGATAACTCAGCTCAAAGTTGATAAGGTGTTACTCAATCTCGGCTCTGCAGACTCTATAGTGAGAGCTGGAGGTTCGAAGGGGACACCACTGACAGGTTGAGGTTTCTGGGCGCGCGTTGTGTACCTAGTAAATTGTGAGTGTGTGTGCGTAAGAATGAAAGTGTATCACGTGGTGTCTCGTGGCTCCTAACTACAATGGATCTTGTGTAGAGCTTGAGACTAATACGTGAATTCCTATCTGTCTCTAATTGTAGGATGTCTATACGCCTATATACCTCAATACTCTGTTACCCCTCAGCTCCAGTGAGATCTGCTCTTGTGAGACCATAGGACACTAGCATTTTGTCTATGTGCCGTACATCCAAAATCTGACTAACCTATGACAACGAAGATCTTTTCAGGATCCATAAGGTGTTGAGAATGGTCCCCCCATGTGTGTCGGTAATAGATATGAGAAAACTATAACCTGCATTTAAGACATAGTCATCCACTGGAATTCTAGTGTGAAATAAACGCTAATGCGCATTAAACTTTCAGTGAAGAATGTATTGATAACAGTGATATAGAATGGGGAATTTGATAGTCAAATCAGCCGGACTTACTAATAAGTTATTCTTGGCATTCCAAGATATATCATATTTCAACATCGGGGACCAACTTCTCTAGTATTGCGAATTGTGACTGAACCCGACTTTCACAGAATATTTGACTCTCTATCTCGCCGAGAAAACCTCTGATAAATGTTACCTCTTACTCCTCATTGGACCGCCCTGATCTATTCATCCGAGTAGGTGCAAGGATGCTCACTTTGTCGAGTTATTTCCTGGTATCAATCTTTGCTTTCGTGTCCTCTTAATGGCCTGTCATGTCGATACTACATGCGACGTCGCTAAGTTACTGTTATAGATCTAGTCCATTCCTGTCATTTGGCTGGGTTTAGACTCGTGGGTCTCAGAGTTCAATGATTCGTCCGGGATGCAAACAGCTACAAGGAATACGTTTGAACATCTAACAGTTGCTTTTGGCGAAGTGACCAGCCCGAAACTGACTTTCCGGACCCGTCTGACTCATGGACTTCAAGATGGCGTAGTCAGTTGCAGCTGATAGAATTAGTGGCCAAGAGGCTGGATTCATGGTTATTTATATGAGCGGCATCAGATACTAAATTATAAATCAACAACAATCTACTTCAGCAACAATTGTTGGCCCAAAGATATCTCCCACCACTCGCTACCAAATTTGAATTGGCTCAAAGCAAAATGCAACGCATTCACTCCCTCCTAATCGCTGGTCTCTTTTTTATCGTTTTCGCTATTGCTAATGAGAGAACTTTTCAGTGTGGAACCAAGGTGAAATTTGAGGATATTCTGATCAATGAAAAGTTGAATGAGATGAAAAGCTATTACAAATCTTCATTTCGTGCATGTAGATTTAAAAAGCTGTGCATCAGAAGAAGACTTCGAAAACTAATATGGCGTCGAAGAAACTACACAGGAAGCTCAGACAACGCAAACTTACCAGATTCTATGGCGTTGTGGTTACCAATACGGAAATCCGGAGAAAACAGGAGTGGGTTGTTGCGGAGAAGTATTGCTCACATACTATTCCGACGAGCTGCATGAGCGACATGCTAACGCTTTAATAAACTAGAAAGCAATACTTATCAAGTTGTAGCCACGTGTACAAAACGAACTTCTTGCGAGTTGTTACGCGTAACTGAAAGAAGTAGGGGGAAAAAATCGATTGAGACTGCATGTCCTGAAATTCGCTCACAAAATATAGTCAGGCCGTCATTTTCAAAATTATTTACATTCAAACAGGCACCTGAGGGTGCCTCCTAACCAGCATCATCCCGTCCGAATGACTCCCTGTTGTTGTAAAGCTTTCAGCTGGTGAATTACAAAAAATTTCAGGACTCACGGTCAAGACAGAACTTCCAACTGGTGCCAACAATAGTGATCAAATCTGAACATTCAGTCAAACTTCCGTAGGCCCTGTTGGCAGGAGTCCCTTGTTGTAAAAATCCGAGTCTACAACTGCTGGCACTATCAGGGGATAATATTACACCAGCATAGTTGACTCCTTAGGATCTGATCACTATGGCCTCCGATCTCTACACACTAAAATCAACGTTCTCAACAGAATAATAAAATTATTGAAGTTACTCCAGCCAATATAGATAGTAAATTGTAGAGGAAGAAGGGCAGGAATTTCTGTGAGTAGATGGGGCCTGTATACACTAAGTTCTATAGCCTATTATGACTAGGTCTTATGAAAGATACGTGGGACACGGTATTACGTTGTGAATGTTGACTAGCAAGCCCCAATGCCACGGATGAAATCTATGTAATGATAGGAAGGTCATGTGGCCTGATGTGAAGGGACTTCACATCTGTTGTTCACAATTATGGGTCCAAAATTGAATTTTATTTTATGTAAGAAGGAGAACATCTATGACGCGCGCGCAAGATGTTTTGTTTCAATCGAGCGCGATTTCCCGTGACACTAGCGCGCTTTTGTATAGACGGAGCCGGATAGTTCCGGATCCACATACAAGGCTACAGCCTGTAACACCTGACTAGCTTAGTTTGAATGATTAGGTGAAACACTACCCCTATGCAACTACCTAACAAATCTCAGAATGTGGCCGGACTAAAATAGACGGAGATTGTCGAGTTAATTGTAGGAGACTTATTGACCTGTTTTAAGGATGACAGGAATGAAGCCTAACGCAGCTGGCAGAGCTTAAAAGAGGGCAAGAGACATCAGATAGCTGGACTACATATTGTATGAGATAGAACGATATCACGTTTGATGTGCGAAGAAGAGTGAAGATTTCTGTGAGTGGATTAAGCTTTTGAGTTTTTTAAATTTGATTTCATTATCCTGTTTTGGCGCCCTACGGGCTCATGCAGGTGGCTATGAACCTATCTATATATTTACAATGGAGGAACCCTCTCGGTAAACACCCCCTAAGCTTTCTGATTTAATTCTTAGAGTTTGCAATTTACCCTTCAGGAAGCATAGTTACACTGTAACGCCGTCGATATGTACCAATCACGTCCCTTCTATCGACCCCAACCTTGTACATATTCCGTCTTGTTCCCTGAGCAGCATTTCGGCAGCATTTGTCATGCGGAAATATTCTATCCAACCATGATTAAGAATCCATCATGTGATTCTTTTCATATCGCTAGGATCGTTGATCATTGCTTCAAAGGAGCGATTTCGGGCTTGTCTCCAGATTTCTCCTCTACCAGTTGACCACTTAGGCAGGGCATGATTATGTGCTTGGGGTTTTGTGGTTGGTAGCCACACGGATAATTTGGCTGATAAACTCCTAGTACTTTTCTTCTGTGTAAATAATAATTGAGCCCGATATGCTCGCCTCGAATTTGGATTGCTAAGCTACTTTAGGCCCTCGTCAGGTTTTTGTGGAGAGAAAATGGTGACTCCTGAAAACTTATTCTTTGGCGTCCAGAATGTCGGCATTGATAGAACTTAGCTGCTTTCCAAGTTTCAGCATCTGCTGTAGCTAGTTTTTGGGGCTGTCGACTTCGCTTTAAGGTAGACCAAGATTTCGCCCATTCTAGGTATGCTGCAATCCTTAGCGCTTCTTTCTGTAAATCTTTAGACTACTCGAGTGAACCAGTAATGGGGATCCCACTATCAAATTAAAGAAACCCCGATTAGAATGGAAAAGATAAGTTGTATTTAAATAGTTTGTCCTACATAGTTGTAAACTCAAATAGGAGATAAATGGATTATTATTATTATAAAGACTACTCGTCTCCGCAAATCTCTTTGCAGTAGGTAAGGTCTGGTATTGAGTGGATTAAGTTTGAATTTGAATTTGAATTCATTATCCTGATTTGGCGCCCTATGGGCCCATGCAGGTGTCTATCATTCTTTCTAATTTACATGGGAGGAAATCTTTTGGTGAAAACCCCCCAAACCTTCCTGCTTAATTTCTATGTTCTTTATAAAGTATCCTTTAGGAAGCGCAGTTACACTATAGTGCCCTCCATATAACCCAATCCTATCAGCTTTGTCGACCTCAAGAAAGGCATGACCTGTTACTTTCCCTTTGCAGCATTTCGACCGCCTTTGTCATCTGGAATTGCTCTATCCAACTATGATTTAGGATCCATTGTGTTATCCTTTTGATATCTCCAGGATTGCTTAGCATAGCTTCGTAGGACCGATCTTTCGCTTATCTCCAGATCTCTCCTCTTCCGTTTGACCATCGAGGGCAGGACATAATCATGTGCTTGGGGTTCTGCGATTGGTAGCTACATGGACAGCTTGGACTTTAGGCTCCGAGTACTTTTCTTCTGTATAAATACCAGTTAAGCCCCATGTGCTCACTTCGTATTTGAATCGCTAGACTGCTTTGGGCCCTTGTCAGGCTTCGGTGGAGTAGGAATGGCGGTTCCTGGAGACTTATTTTCCATCGATCCGACTATCGGTCCTGATAGAACTTAACTGCTCTCCAGGTTTCGGGGTCGGTGAGTGGATTAAGTTGTTAAATATGTTTATATATGGTATCACGTGACCATAATTCTCCACTTAAACTAAATAACGATACAAAATAGCCTCACAGAATCATATCGTGATAACTAGTCCGCATTGTAGTGATAAAAGTTTGGCTGTGCTGCCCTCTAGTCTGCAACTGTTCTTTTCCGACAAATTTTAAATCTTCAACTTCCAGTGGTGCTGTTGTAATCGCTCAGTATGCACTGCACACTTGTGAGTGCCAAGAAGAATCTATTTGGATTAGGTTGTAGTTGGCAATTCCTAACCTACCGTGGTGCCACGATTTCAAGTTTTCAGTAGATTTATATGGGGCGCATATTTGCTACAGGGGTTGCACCCCTGTTAACGCCAATTTCGACAGGGTACATAATTCTTGTCCTGTATTTCCAGGCCTAAGCCGAGGGCACAATTTGATTTCATGTCACCCTCAATTTTATGCAAATCCAACCTGCTCTCTAGTTCTTTCCCATTGCTTTGATGAGCGCCGACCGCTAAAAAATTACACAGCTCTTCTCACCTTGTGCTTGAGGAGGACGAAGGCTGAACACCTGTCAGTGGTGTCTTCTACGAACCTGGGAGTGAAATATTCTCTCAGAGCCGAGATTCAGTCTCGAAAAAGGGTGGGATGAATTTTATTTTATGGATTTTCGACATGAAGGAGTTGCACTCGATATTTTGGTCGAAAAATCAGCCGGCAGAGATTTCACAGCCGCAACAAAATTGAACAGAAACTCATCAGCACCAACATACGATTGACGAGTGGATTCAGGTCTGTCTGGGGGTCGTATTCAAACATCCGACATCTCTCAAACTCCTCATGTATTTACGACGAAGCATTTCTCAGTCGATTCTACACCTGAGATCCACCTCCACACTCTTCACATCACCTATCTACACACGCCCTAATGAGGAAAGTTATGATGGAAACGGGACGTGTACAGAGGAGGAAAAAAAGGGAAGATACACTGAGGGATCGTACAAATCCCCGATGACGATAACAACCCAATGTTATGATATGAAGTTGCAAGTCTAGAGCAACAATGAAATATGTGACTACATTCATATTTCGGATTCAATTAGGATGTCAAGGGTTCGGGCGCGTGGTGACCGAGGCCGAGGAGGAATTTGCGCTTCGGCGCGTCAAAAGGGTGTTCTCTGGACGGTTGGGCTTGACATGATTTAACACATGGGTGAAGTCTGAGATGGTCCGGTCATTTAAGTGGGACGAGGTATATCTGTACTTCACGTTAGTTAACCTGATTCTGCCCGGCCCCACCCGTGCTCAAGCTCCAGTAGGAGTGCAACTGGAATCACTACATCTAGCACTTTAATGAAAAACAAAAAAAGACATTGCTTCTCCTGTTAGTTACACGTCACATCACGATTTGGCAATTTGCGCTCTACATTGATACCATCAACTCCTTTCAAATCGCCCTTTAGCTTCAATTTCATACTTGTATCTACGACCGCGAACAATGTCTGACCCCCTCCTCCCCCTATTCCCCCGTCAGTAGTAGGGGCACCAATGACACTGATAGAAACGCTGAACCAAGCGACTTCCGCTGCTAACATAAGAACGCAGGAAGAAACTCTTTTGTTTGGCAGCGTCGCCGCAGCATTGGGTAACGTCACTTGTGGTACGGCTGCCTCTACAATCACCCTCCATTTACAGAAAATATATACGAGTTCTTGACCCGTATGCAAGCTGTTGCACAAGAATTTTTCGAAAACCATGTGCGAGGCGTACCGATTTCCGCAACAACTACTCACCTTCTGACAGCCTAGTGAAAGCCAGCTGCCCATGCGAAGCTCTCATACGCGAACGTTGCAAGAAAACTGAAGGGCAATGCTGGAGTTAGCACCCCTCATAAACCGAGACCTGCCAATCTCCAAAAACAGGCCAAACCTCTGCCTTTGAACGATCGATTATTTCTACGCCTTGATGAAAACGCGACAGAACGCCTGATATCAGCGTACTTACTCCCCATTCAACTCCGAAATTTCCTTAGAGAGAATTCTGCCATGCTGGAGGAAGTGCAACATGTGCCATCTGGCCTGGCCCTCGGTCCATCTTCAGAAGCGGCCTTAACAAGATTAGAAGACCCTTTCGTCCAGGGAATTAGAGAACGGAGGTTTCCAGGTGTACGGGGCATTGAAAAAGCCCAAAACCTGGATATCTACATAATCACATCTGTACTTCGCACATTCACAACTTTAGACAATAATAACCGTCTCGTCAAAGAGTCAACCACCCCAGAACTCGTTCTAAAGGAACTTAAGGAAGAAAATGGATTTAATCCTACTG